TCGTCGGCAGAAACAAGCCTTGTTGATCCGAATATAAACATGGCCAAACAGCAAGCATAGGTATGGCAAAAATGGCATGCAAGAATAGGGGCCAAAAGAGGGGTAATGAAGCAAGTGATATAAGCAAAACCCAAACTGCAAAATTTCCTTCTACAACACTGAAAAGGGACCAAAAATATGAACATTTACAGTGTATGGCAGCCTCAAAATCAGTATACAAATATGCTAAAAATGTGATGCAAAACAAGGCTCAAAAGAAGTGTATGAAAGATGCCTCAAACCATGAAAGGACCTAAATGAAACATGAAGAATGGACCAAAATAAGCACTTTTTCAGAACTGTAAAATGGCCAAAAACAAAAGCATGGTAGGCTGCCATTGCATGCAAAAATGGGACCAAAAGGGGAGTATAAAGGTAAGTACAACATGGAAGTCTCAAATGGTGTTGAGCCCTTCTTCAATGTTGAAGAGGGGCTGAAAATAAGCCTAATATCAGTTTACAACATGCTCAAAAACAGATTACTCATGGGCCAAAAATAGCATGCAAAATCATGACATATAAGAGGATCAATGAAGCAAGTGTATTATGGAGGGCTCAAGCCCTTAATGAAAAGTGAAGATGAGCTCAAAAGAGGGCCCTTTTCAGTTAGGGCCGGAGCTTGGAACAAAAAGCAAGTGGGGCTTACAAATGAATCAAGAAAAAGGGTCAAAAGGGTAAAAGTATTACTTACCCTTGAAGACTCAAACTTTTGTTGCTTCTTGGACCAATTTGCAGCTTCTTTGGCCTTTGAGAAACCTTCCTTGTTGCTGGAAATGAGATGGTGGTGGTAGAGCTTGGTGGTGTAGAAGGAATGATGGTTAGGGACTTAGGGTTTTTTGAAGAAATGAGAGGTATAGAAATGGAGTTCTATATGGAAGCTTGAAGATGAAGTTTTCCAACCCCAAAATGTGATGAAGCTTGCTTGCTATATAGGCCAAAAAGGGGGTGTAAAGGTGGGGGAAAAGGAGAGCAAAATTCCCCCACAAAATATCCCCCGGATAAATATCTTTTCTGGGGGATATTGCCTAACAGCTGTAAAGGGAACAGTGCAAGGAACACGACCAGCATATTACTTTTGCTCCAGGTGGCCGGCCGGCCACACCCCCTAGCCGGCCGGCTAGGGGTCAAAAGGTTCAATGAGATTTTCTGGCCGGCCACCAACTGATGGTGTCCTCCTATGTGTGTACAACACAACCCTGTGGTTCAAAGTTCAAGAAAAAGGGTCCAAGGGGTTCAACATTAGCCCGGAAGTTTTTTTGAATTACGTATATAATATAAATAGCAATAGAATAATGCTTGGGACTCCTTTTTGGGGGTCACCCCCCATTTGCCACGTGGCGGGTGGTGATTGGGGGAGCAGGAAAAAAAAAGAAAAAGAAAAAGAAAATGTAACCAATGAGAGAGAGGGGGTCAAAGGGGGTGGGAGGAAAAATGAGGATGAATCATTGTTGATATTTTTTATGAAAGCATCTTCTATCAAAAACAAGGATGCTGCCAAATGCCAAAAGGTAACTCATCTTATTGTAACTTTTAGAGATGTCAATAGGATTAATGGGGTGAATATTAATTTTTTATCCCAATTCTTCTATAATTATTTTTTTCCATTCTTCATTCCCCATTCTCCATGGGTACTACCCTCTCCATCTCCTAATGGGTTTGGATTTTCTCCAACCCAACTTGACTTTTTTTTTTTTTAACCAAAGCTAAATATACATTCAATCTTATTTTATTTTATTTGGCTCAACAACAAAATTAAATACACATTAATTAATATTGTCATATTATTCTTGTCAAATTTTATGTATATTTAGAATTTTTAAAATTTATTTAGAAAAATTTTATTCCTAAAAAAAAAATTCCAGCTTCTTTTTTTAATTTTTTTAAATTTTTAAAATTTTATGTATCTACTTCTCCTCTCTATTAATTGATCTTCGATAATCTGAAGGTGAGTTGTTGCTCTCGTTTCCATCTTCTTCTCTTCTTTTTTTTTTAATTTTTATTTGTATTTATAGAATGAATTTTCTTGTTTTAATATCTCCTGCAATTATTTTATTGGATTTATCTCTGATTTGATGGTAACCTTAGATTGAATTTCCCAATTTTCATCTCAACTAGTGATCACCTTAATTGAAATTTTATACATTTTTGTCTTCAATTTCCATATTTTGGTTATGATTAATTGCGCATTTTTGATCGATAGTCACAATCTTGTTGCCGCTAAATTGTCGCCATCGCAAATCGCCGTTGCTGTTGTGAGAGGATGAGAGAGAGTGAGAATTAGAACTCTAATTGTAAATAGAGTAGTGAAAACATATGGAGAAAATATTTTTCGATGTACCTAAATAAATAAAAAAATATGGGGAAGTTAATGGGTACCCATCCCCAATGGAGATTCAAAGAACATCACTTACCCTACCTGACGGACAAGAAAAAAGGGAAAAACCCATATATTTGGGTTGACTCTCCATCAATACCCACAGGGTAGGTTATCCATTGCCATCCCTATTTCACTACTCTGTTTACAATTAGAGTTCTAATTCTCACTCTCTTTCATCCTCTCACTATAGCAACGGAGATTTGCGATAGCGACAATCTAGCGGCAACAAGATTATGACTATAGATCAAAAATGCGCAATTAATCATAACCAAAACATGGAAATTGAAGACAAAAATGTATAAAATTTCAATTAAGGTGATCACTAGTTGAGATGAAAATTGGGAAATTCAATCTAAGGTTACCATCAAATCAGAGATAAATCCAATAAAATAATTGCAGGAGATATTAAAACAAGAAAATTCATTCTATAAATACAAATAAAAATTAAAAAAAAAAGAAGAGAAGAAGATGGAAACGAGAGCAACAACTCACCTTCAGATTATCGAAGATCAATTAATAGAGAGGAGAAGTAGATACATAAAATTTTAAAAATTTAAAAAAATTAAAAAAAGAAGCTGGAATTTTTTTTTTAGGAATAAAATTTTTCTAAATAAATTTTAAAAATTCTAAATATACATAAAATTTGACAAGAATAATATGACAATATTAATTAATGTGTATTTAATTTTGTTGTTGAGCCAAATAAAATAAAATAAGATTGAATGTATATTTAGCTTTGGTTAAAAAAAAAAAAAAGTCAAGTTGGGTTGGAGAAAATCCAAACCCATTAGGAGATGGAGAGGGTAGTACCCATGGAGAATGGGGAATGAAGAATGGAAAAAAATAATTATAGAAGAATTGGGATAAAAAATTAATATTCACCCCATTAATCCTATTGACATCTCTAAAAGTTACAATAAGATGAGTTACCTTTTGGCATTTGGCAGCATCCTTGTTTTTGATAGAAGATGCTTTCATAAAAAATATCAACAATGATTCATCCCCCTTTTCCTCCCATCCCCTTTGATCCCCTCTCTCTCACATTGGTTACCTTTTCTTTTTCTTTTTCTTTTTCTTTTTTTTTCCTGCTCCCCCAATCACCACCCGCCACGTGGCAAATGGGGGGTGACCCCCAAAAAGGAGTCCCAAGCATTATTCTATTGCTATTTATATTATATACGTAATTCAAAAAAATTAAGTCGATTATTTAGTATTTTTATTTTGTTAGGTTGATAGTTTATTTTTAAAATATATTTTTTATTTATTTTTAAAAAATAAATGTGATAAAATGAAAATATTACGATTATCAGAAAAAAAAAAATTCTAAACAATTGAAACTAATTTTTTGTGGTTACAAAAATTTAGTAAATTTCATAAATTATTTAATATTTTCGTTTTTGAAAAAAATTGAAATTATAAACATAAAACTGTAAAACAACCTTAAGGTTTGAATGCTGAATAGTCCAATGCTATATCTTCTAGTCAAGTTAAACGAGTCACGGTCCATTTTAATTGAAATTTTTTTTGCCGTGTTCTAACATCATGTATATATAGGGCTGAGCAAGAAATTCGTAAAATTCGTAATTCGATTCAGTCAAGTCCAGTCCAATCCGATAGGTTTGGATTGATTTTTTGAATCCGTGGTTCGGTTCCGGATTGAAGAATTAAAAATCCGTAGTCCACGGATTGGTTCCGGATTGAACCCCACGGTTCCGGATTGGAATCGATCCGGACCGTATACAAATAGTCTATATTTTTATTATACATCCTCCCCATAGTATCTTCTCTTATTCTATATAAAATCTAAACTCAAACATAAACCTCGTATAATATCTTCTTTTATTACTTTTGTTTTTTAGTTTTAGTTTTAATTTGTAATGGTCTAAATACTTATGGTGAAATTAATTTTTTTATGATTGTTTAAATTCTAGAACATTATGTCGCTATTATAGAAAAACATGTTGCTATTGTAGAACTAATATAGCGCTATGTTTTTATTTTTATAAAATTAAAGTGTTATATATATATATATATATATTTTTGTTATTTAATTATGTGAATCCATGGTCCTAAACCGATCCAATCCGTGTTGAAATGGATTGGTTCAGATTGGTTCCAAGATTTAATCGGATTTGATTGGTTCTGATTTTTTAAGAACCGTAGATAAAGGATTGGTCCTGATTTTATCTCAATCCGATCCAATCCGAACCATGTTCATCCCTATGTATATAGTAGCATTACTCATATAGTAATTGATTGAAGAATACCCACAACAATGTGGCTTTTCCACCGCCTCAGAGCAAATTTATCATTATTTCTCGTCACAATCACTCTACTAACTACTATCAGCTCTGTTTTTGGCCAAACTTTCAATCACCACTTCTGTTCTAACAAATCTTATAATGACACGGCCAACATTAAAACCTTGTTGGGCTCTTTGTCCTCCAAAGCAGCCCAGAACAACAGCTTCTACAAGGACACATCCAATAACTTGTACGGCCTCTACCAATGCAGAGGCGATGTTGCAACTGATATGTGCCAGAAATGTGTGGAGGCAGCAATTCAAGAAATCCAACAACCCTATAGATGCCAATCTAAAAGCAGGGCAGACATATGGTACGATGAGTGCACGTTACGATACGCTCCTGTTAACTTCTTTGGAACTGTAAAATTAGATCCACTAGTTTTGATGTATAATGCCCGTAATGCTAGTTCACCCAATAATACATACGTTGACACACTTTCTTTAATGAACCGTCTGGCATCAGAGGCTGGGAAGGAGCCGATGATGTATTATGCACATGATGAATTACCTGCAACTGCAGGTGATGTTGCACCGAAGAACGTATCTGCGACGGTGCAGTGTTGTAAAGATATAAGTGGTGACGACTGTAATCGCTGTTTGCAGAATCTGGCTATGTATGCCGAGACATGTTGCCTAGAGAAGAGCGGGTGGCGTATATTGGCACCCAGTTGTAATATGAGGTATGAGGAGTATCGTTTCCTTACACCGTCCGCGCCTCCACCGGTGCCTCCACCTGCGCCTACTACTACAAGCAAAGGGGGAAATTATTCAATACTTCCGGAGCACCACGTGTCCATACTCCAAACCAATCACCAATCAATTAGCCCCATGTTGTCCCCCCATCTCCAACATAAATCGTGGGACCTTGTGTCTCTCCACCAATCAAAACATAATGGAGGATCACATGTCCATCTCGATAATCACCAAAGCAAAGGTGAGTCAGAAGAAATGTTAAACCGGAGCATGTTGATAGGCAAAATAAAACGGCAAATTATCAATAATTCTTATTTTTGAAACTTATTACTTATTAAATTTTATTAATAAATTTATCAAGTTTTCCTATTTTTATGAACAAATTTACAGTAATAAATTTATTAGTCAATGGGTAAATAAGCCTAATTAATATGATTGATGGGTAAGTGTCTCAAAATAAAATATATATTTTGTAATATCTTCTAGATAGATAATAGCATCAGAGATGCTCTAAATTTTGGATGAAATCTGAGTAATTAACACTCAGATTTTGTATTATTTTAATTTAATTCTTAATTCTTTTAAAATTTGATCAATTTACCTCTGCTGTTTCTTTTTGTTTATAATCAAACGGAACTTGCTGACATGTCACCAAATTTCATTTGGAATTTTATTTTACTCACCGAATTATACTTTAAAAATCAATAAGCCCCTCAAATATTAAAAAAATAAATTTAAATATTTCATTAATCACTTTTTTTTGCTCCAATTTTCTGAGTTTAATTTTTTGAAAAATAATTTTTTTATTTTCTGTCCTTTTTCATTTTCACTGATTTTTTTTTAATATTTTGAATAATTTTTTTAGTTTCTAGATACACTTAATATTAATGCAATCAAAAAGTATAATATATGTGAAAAAAATATTTGAAAAATTCACTAAATACCAAAAATACAATATATGTATATATATATCTATTCAATAGTATATTTTCGTATTCATTTGTATTTATTGATTTTTTAAAATATTTTTTTACAAGTATTTTACCTTTTCGGTACATCTAGGTTAGGTATATCTAAAACGTAAAAAATTTCTCAAAGTATTAAAAAAAATTCATTGAAAAAAAAAAAAAAACTAATTAGTCCTGCTAAGAAAATTGAAACCAAACAAGGTAATTTTTCTTTTCAAAAATGTTAAAATTAAATTTTAAATTAAAAAAAAAAATTGAGTATTAGTCCTATTGAGCATTCTTTAGACAGTAATTGAATTTTAAATTTTTTTTACCCAATCAATTTTGAAATTACTATTAGTCGATCAATTTTATTGAACTTAATTTGGGGAATAAAATAGTTACAATTGCGCGCGCTCACACACAGAAAGTAACCAAGAAATTCTTGGCTCAATTAGTTTTGTCCATAATAGACTTGAGATAATTTAAGACTTAAAAGAGATAATTCTAAATGAGGATTTTTATATTTTTTGCAAAATATATTATTTAAAATTTAATTTTTTTTTAATATTTAGAGGACTAATTAATTTTTAAAATATAGTTTGGGGGTAAAATTCCAAATGAACTTTGTAGTTACGTCAGCAAGTTCCATTTGATTGTTGACGGAAATAGACGATGGGAGGTAAATTGATCAAATTTTAAAAAATTTAGTGGTTAAATTAAAATAATGCTAAATCTGGATGGCAAATTAATTTTTGCGTAATAATTTGGATTGCAAAATGATATTCTCTTAAATTTAAGAGGGACTTTTCTTAAGTGTGCAACTTACACCTTACACTTACACCTTTTGTGTTTGCTGTCCTGTTTGATATTTATACCTTCCACTTACACCTTTTGTGTTGATTGCATATGGTGTGCAACCTTAAGGGGTTGCACACCATAACAGGACTCATTTAAGAGAAGTTATTATAGTTATGGAAAAACTAAGAATTTATTATATTTTACTCAAATTTCAGGAAACATCATTGTAAATTACCCATTTTTTAACAGAATGTCCCTTCTTTTTTTCATTTTTTTCATTAATCTTTTCTCTCATGAAAATGCTTGGTACTGTGGGAGACCTTGAAATTCATTATTAATCTTATTTCCTAAGGATTTAAATTTTTTAGGATAACTGGTTATTTAATATTATATTAGAACTTAAATTATAGAAAATCATAAGTTCAAATCTCTCAAATTATTTTGCTTCCTCATTTGCACTATGTTTCTTTTGCATTTCTTTAACATGTTTAAATGTTAGCATCATCACGTGTAGGACAAAGTCACATGAATGAGATAGAGGGTGCGAAAAAGACTAATATGTATTGGTAGCTTAAGGTTTGGGATATACTTCTTACCATACTTACACATCAATGTAGTTTCTTTTCTTATTGTCTCGATTTAATTTATTCTCAAGTTAATGAATTTTTTTTGCCAATAAAAAAAACAACAATGTTAGGTATCATAAAAAATCTTTCATGAAAATGATTATGAAAGATTTGTGACTTTTGGATTACACTTAGAATAAAGCATCACACACTAATCAAGGTAATCTAAGAGTCACAAATCTTTCATGATCATTTTCATGAAAAGTCTTTCATGATTCTTAACATTTCTTTAAAAAAAAATACATCAGATACACATATAAGATCTTGAGCTTTTGAGTAGCTCGTATTCGAAAATTTTAGAAGTGAATGAGAATTAACTCTATTTGAATGAAATAATGTAATCTTATATGGTGTCTATTCGTATGAAAGGGCGTGAATCCAAGAGACATAACTATTTTGAAGGTACTTCCATAAATACCATCTCATCTCATGACATTTTTACATAAGTTAAGGTTTGTTTTGGGATTCATATATTATGTCTAGTCAAGTATATAAAAGAGAGTACATGGTATAAATTGGTTCACTATACACAGAAAATTATGCAATTTTTGTGTGGAGTGATCATTGTATCTTGGAGGCAGGATGTCCATTAATCGCAAACATCAGAGGCGAGGGCGAAATTCAATCTTAAAGATACAATGTTCAAACACTGACTTCGGTCACAATATGTATTAAATTTACAGAATTTCTATAAGAAATTTCTTGTATTTTATTTTACTATTTATTTGTATTAAATTGATTTTTCTGAAAATATTTTCCTACAGACGCAAGTGACACTCCACTCTCTCTTACTCATGATTTCTTTCTTTCATTACAAAAATGTCTAAAATGATACTTGAAAAGATATTATGAAGAGGGCAATATCTGAAATGGGACAAATATGTCAAAGAAATAAATAGAAAGAGTATAGAACAAATAGATGGTGCAAGACTCTAGAAAATGAGAGTTAGTGTAGACTCTCAACAGAAAATTGGTGATAAAACAAACATAAATTTTTATTGTCACAAATTAGATTAGATAACGCTTATTAAGTGGCAATCATTTTGTTTTTCAATGTGTGGATCTTTATTACTACATATTTGTATCTGCTTACAACCATATGGAACATTTTTGAATCCAAAATTTATCATGATTTAACCAAAAACTTTTAGTTTTTGCAGGAAAGAATGACAATACAACTCTAACAATCATCATTGTCGTTGTTTCATCTATTCCTTCTATGATGATATTCATTGTATGCATTTGCATCCTTTTAAGAAAGAGGAAGCAAAGGAAGTCAAGGCAGCAAGTTGAAAGTAAGTTTAATATGGCTTACTTAAACCTCTATGTGGATTTTAATCTCCATTTTTGTAATTAACCACTAACTGATAAAAAATGCAAGTAGATTATCTTTAAATGATTTGAACTGCATTGATAAATATCTCTTTTCAAAATAATGCAGAACTAGTGGAAAGTGTAGTTTAATTGCCAACAAATCACTTCCATTGAAGCAAAAATGCTATTCTTTAGTCTGTTTCTTAAAAGTAAATATTGGAAGGAAAATTAAAGATCCCTCCTTAATCTATTTATTCTATCATCATTGAAAACAAGTTGTGGATAATTTTTAGATGATATTTCGGTATGCGATTTATGTTGGCTAATTTTATGATATGAAGAAAGCCACCAACATTACTAAAAGATCTATATTTTCATTTGTAACTTTTATTGACATAATTGTTAACTTGTTCATTTTGTGAAGTTGTGGAAGAAATTAGCGTTGTGGAATCCTTGCAATACAACTTTGATGCCATTAGCGTTGCAACAAATAACTTCTCTGATGTTAATAAGCTTGGACAAGGTGGATTTGGTGCTGTTTACAGAGTAATCGATCAAACATTTACATTAGAATATGATTTATCCCTTGTGCTAAAATGAAAAAATAACTAAAATAAAATGCTGAAATTCTCTATTTGCTAAAAGTGGTATCATTTGTATAACATAAACTCTATTATATCTTCAGGGTAGGCTTCCAAATGGACAAGAAATAGCTGTGAAGAGACTATCTAGGGATTCAGAACAAGGAGAATTAGAATTCAAGAATGAGATTATGTTGGTTGCCAAGCTTCAACACAGGAATTTGGTTAGGCTCGTTGGATTTTGTTTGGAAGGAACTGAAAGGCTTCTCATCTATGAATATGTGCCAAATTCGAGCCTCGATCACTTCATATTTGGTAAAACTACTATGCTACTTGTTTATAGATTGTCTTTCTCTCAACTTCATCTAAACAAAACTTTGAAATATGCACACTTCATAGCTTTGTGTCAAACATAGAACACTACAAACAATATATATCTTGATCTGCATAACAATTTAATCATATGATAAAGACCAAAACTATAAAGACGGATTATACTAAGAGTTTCTTTAATTTGGAGCTTGTGTCATTTTGGTTTATGATTTTTCAATTATGATACATTTGACCATAAATTTTCAATCTTGTTCTAAGCAATGACAATCAAAAATGTTTCCTGTGCAAACAGTCCATTTCAAGGGCAAAATCGTCATAGAACTTATTTTGTATTGGTTAACTTGTATAGTGTTTGAAATGTAATAGCCTTTTTTTTTTATTAATGAATAATTGGTTTAGTTTTCAGAATCTATTTTCATAAATTTTTTTCTAAGAAATTAAATATTAAATTGGTGAAAAAAAATTAAAAACACATCATTTTTATATAATTTTATCTTTTGGGATGGTAGAAATAATTTTTTAATATTTATTTTCATCAAATTAGTTTCTATTTTTTTAAAAGTCAAGCATGACAACAACTTTGATGTCATTATTAAACCAATCTATTAAATCAAAAAAATCCAAAACTAAACATATTTCATATATTAAACATATCGAATACACATTAAAAGCCTAATAACCATCAATTATACGATAATCATCCAAAAATATATGTTAACAACAAAAACAACCATTATTACATGATAACTGTTAAAAAAATTAACAAACAGCTACCATCACATGATCATCGTCAAAACATAAAAAAATAAAAATATAAAAGATTTATCATTTTTATATAATTTTATCTTTGGTAGGTAAAAATAATTTTTAAAAATTTTAAAATAATTTTTTGATGTTTGCTTTTGTCAAACTAGTTTATATTTTATTAAAATGACGACTTTGCCCTTAAAATGGAGCATTTTGTCTTTAATTATCCTTATTTGGAACGATATTTAAAATGTAAGGTCAAATGTATAACAATTGAAAGGTCATGAACTAAAATGACACAAGTCTCAAACTACAGGGCCCGTTAGTGTAATCCGCCCAAACTAAAATCATTGAAGAACACATTTAAAAGATCATTCAATTGAATTTTGATTCACCCTTATGGATTTGTAGATGCCATCAACCGTGCATGTTTGGATTGGGATAGGCGTTACAACATCATAGCAGGCATTGCTCGAGGACTTCTTTATCTTCATGAAGATTCACGACTTCGAATTATTCATCGCGATCTCAAAGCTAGCAATGTTTTGTTAGATGCGGAGATGAACCCGAAAATTTCAGATTTTGGCTTGGCGAGATTGTTTGTACTTGATGAAACTCAAGGAAATACAAGCAGAATAGTAGGAACCCAGTAAGTTTTAACTCTATCCACATCTTATGATTATAAATAAAATTCTCTTTTTGTTCATTTCCAAAATGGTTTTGGTTCACTTGTCGATCAAACATTGCAAAAATAAAAATACATTTGCTTTGAATAAGAAACAAAAATAAAATCATGTTTTGTAATCATAAATGTGAGTTGGTTTGAGTCTTACCAACATAGTGATAATACATCATTTATGCAACTTTTGGTATAGAAATTTTGTTGAAACTTATATATTAAATAATGCAGCGGATATATGGCTCCAGAGTATCGAATACATGGCCAGTTCTCAGTCAAGTCAGATGTGTTTAGTTTTGGTGTCTTAATTTTGGAAATTGTGAGTGGTCAGAAGAACAATCGTTTTCGCAATGGAGAGAATGAAGAGAACCTTTTATGTTATGTAAGTATGAATATCCATAATAGCTTACTAGTACCATGAAATTTGTCAGGCCATGAAAGCTTATTCCATATATTGAATTCTTGCAGGCTTGGAAAAGTTTGCGAGAAGGAATAGCTTCGAATATAATTGATCCCACATTGAGGGATGGCTCGGGTTCAGAGCGTGAAATGATAAGATGCATTCATATTGGGTTGCTTTGTGTACAAGAAAACGTGGCTGCAAGACCAACCATGGCTGAAGTTGTTCTCATGCTTAATAGCTTCTCTCTCACCCTTTCCCCACCTTCAGAACCAGCATTTTTTGTGCGTAATAGCATTGGCCCAGAGTTACCATTGCCCCAGGAATATAATTCATCAGCATCTGAGTCTAGTCAATCAAAAAGTAAATCCACCCTTGTATCAGTCAATGAAGCTTCAATTACTGAGTTATATCCGCGATAGATTTTGAGTATGAGATTGAAGTGATGAACATTTTTATATGATTTTTTGTGTTTGGTTATTTCTCTTTTGGAAATCTTTTCCTTTAATGGAATAATGTTTTAAGTTCATGATATCACATAGGAGCGTACTTCTCGACTTGTCCTTAGAAGGTTTCTATTCTTTAAGCATCTTGATATAGTGCTTCCATGTTGATCCCAACTCTGTAACAGATGTGTTTGTAAGAACTTCAATTTATGCTACAAATTATAGCCAAAACCAGCTATTTGCAGAATTATTATGTTTCTATCTATTTCACATCTACATTAAGATTGAATTATATTTTAATCGTACTAAGATCTCGTGACAAACCCATTCCGTGATTAGCTAATAATCCTTAATTAAGAATGCATAATAAGTAATTAAGATGAAATTATGAGTTAATTGTGCATTTTGTGTATGTTTTGTGTTTATATCTGTTTGTCGTAGGAATATCTATTTGAGTTTCTATTTCAATATTGAATTTGAAGGGCTTATCAGCATTCAAGTACGAAATTGGCTAGGTCAATGCATAATTTAGAATTTTTAGAATATTATGGTAGTTTAATTAGAAATTGATTCAGAATCAAATAATTAGAATAATTAAATTAAACTAAATTAGATTGATTATAGCTAATCACATTTAATTAGCCTAATACTAAACAAGCCTATATAAGGCCACTTATACTCATTTTATAACATTCCACCTTCTTCTTCGTGAGTTCACAAACGTGAGAGAGAGTGAGAGAGAACAAGAAAGAAATTGAGGCCAAAGCTTGAAAGTGGAGAATTGAAGGAAATTGGTTGAATTATCCAAGAACTTGCTAGAATTCAAGGAATTGTGGACTTTAAGTAAGAATTTAATTCACACTTTATGAGCTTAAGCTAACTTACATAAGAATTCAAGAGAATGTAGGAATTAAATGCATCATTTGAGCCAAGAAAGTTGAATTGGGAAGCAAATCATACATGCATGCATATTTCATCACATTTTGAGGTTGTTTTTTAAGAAGTCACACATGCATGGTGTTATTTATGCTTAAGTTTGAAAATTCAACATGGTTTTGAGCTAAATATCTAATTTGATCATGGTTTAAAGAGTTTGAATTCAAAACATTTCAAGCATGTACTATATGTAAAGTTTTAAACTTGGTTTTGAAAGTATTGGTTGAGTTTTGGGCCTTGATTTTGGGATTTGATCTTTATTCCATGTTTTTATACAAGTTTTCGAGTGTTTTCTTATGTTTTGGCCTAAAAGAATGAGTTTTGGTGCAATGGAATTAAGTTTTGAAGCTTGAAAAGCAATCTGGAAATTTTAGAATTCGCAGAGTTCACTCGAGCGATGAACTCTTCGCTCAAGTGTACTTTGCAAGCTCTTAGTATTTTTGCAGAGTTTGATGGTTGGCTCGAGCAACCACTCTTTGTTCTACATAACACAACACCCAGTACTTTTGTAGACCAAGGGGTCCACTCGAGCGAACTGCCCAATTCCTGAAATTTTACAAAGTGTTTTCTATAGCGATTTTGGTTTGGACCCGAACCATTTCATATTTTGGATCCAGGTTTCATTGCCTTGTATAGTTGTTTATGTCTCATTTCCCTTATACCTCTTTAAGTTTGGCTTTTGGGTTGTGTTGGTTGAGTTTGGAACAGGTTGGTACTTTGTTTTTCAAAAACCTTGTTGCCCAGAATTTTGCTTCTATACTTGAGCGTTACTTCTTGCGTTCGAGTGGTCTTTGTGATCTCTCAGTACTTTTGCAGGTCTACAAAGCTATTGGGAGTTGGTATTCTTCGCTTGAGCGAAGCTTCTTGCGCTTGAGTGGTCTTGGCTCGAACAACCTTTATTGCGCTCGAGCATTGGTTTCTATCTGCAAAAATACTGGGAGTTTGTATTTTACGGTCGAGCGACAACTTCTTGCGCTCGAGCGGTCACATCTTTTGTGTCTTACGTTTGAGCATCACTTCTTGCGCTCGAGCGGACTGCACGTATATTAGTCTGTAAAAGTCACTTTTTCATTTCACTCTCTCTCTAAACTTTCTAAAAGCCCTAGATCTATACTCTCTCTCTCTCTAAAACTCATCTTCTCTCTTCTAAAACACCTAGATCAATTGAATTCTCTACCCTACTCCCTTTAAGAAAAAGGTATAGCTCAGTTGGAGCTTCATTTTCATCCGAAGAAAGTTAGGTTTCGACGATTGTAGACACCCCATTTTTGACCGACATTAAGACTCAGACGTCACCAACTGAGCGCTCGGTGATGTTGCATATTGTGCTCGTTCTGAGGTTGCGGAGTCTCGGCTGCGAGCCTTGCCTCCGGACTTCAGGGCTCTTTTGTGCTTTGCTTCGGTTTGCGAACCAGATCCTGTTTTCTCTATTTTCTCTTCACGAAGGAAGGGAGAGGTCTCGTAGACCATCTCTCAGTGGCCGTAGGCTAAGTTTCGTGGTCGCAGGCCATTTTTCCCGTTTGGAGCCTAGTTTCCGGTTTTCGGAGCCGTCGACCATGTGCCTCGGTTCGGGATCGCTTAACTACCTCTGTTTGCTCCGATTTTTGGCACACACCTTGTTTCCTCCCTTTAGAAGGACACTCTGGCCCGGGAGACCACCTTCGTGGTCATACGCCACTTCCGGTGCCTAACAGCCTGTTTTCGGGGCCCTAGACTGCGCGTTTGGGCCCCCGAACCTTCGTTTTGCATCCGTCTTGGTCAATTTTTGGTAGGGATCCTATTTTCATTGTTAGGGAGGTGGTAGTATGGTGGGAGGCCACCTTTTCTCCTTCGAAATTAGTTTTCTCTTTTTCTCTCTCCTAAAGCCGATTTTTCTGACAGAAAGCTGGTTTTTCCCACTTTTGGATCACAATTTCTGGTCTCCCATACCAGCATTGTGTTGTACTCACCTGGGAGGCCACCAATATGGGTAGGCCGACCACCTTTTTAAAAATGACTTTTTTGACCTAGCTGGCCGACCATAAAAAGTGGCTGGCCGACCACCTGAACCTTTTGACCTGGTCGGCCGACCAGGGCAAGTGGTCGGCCGACCACCTGAACTGGTCGGCCAGCTTTCTCCTTTTTTGTCTCATTGAATTGAAGCCAGCTGTGCCAGCTGGAAGCCTCAGAATGCATCCTCCATGTATGGAGGATGTTTAAGCTAGCTTTGAAGCTTCTTGGAGAAGCTTTAGACCTTCTCCTCTATAAAGGAAAGGGCCCTCTTCCATTGCTAGGGTTGAACCCTTTGGTTAAAGCATACATACACTTCTCTCCATATCTCTCTCTTCTAAGCCCCAAAACCCCTTTGTTCTTGCACCATTTACACTACATCTCCTAGCCTACCACCTCCACCATCCATTCCATCACTTTGGGATTGATTTGCAAAGGTTGAAGGTTCACCAACTTGGTTCAGAAGTTGCTGCATTGCTGTGCTACAAGGGTAAGTCTCCATTTCCCCTTTTCTTGCATTATTTTGCTCCATAGCTTAGCCCTATTTCCAAGCATTTCTGGGTTTTGTTATAAACTGTAAAGTGTCTTATTTTGAGCTCCTCTTGAGGTTTGATTAGGATACTTTTCTGTTTGAGGTCTCCTACATCCTTGTATGCTTCATCTCTCTTTTAGGGCTTATTTTGCATGATATCTTAGCCTTACTTGCAAGTATCTTCGAGATTTTCCATGAACTAGAAAAAGTCTTGTCTTGATCTTCTAAACATGTTTGTTTAAGGACTCTTTTCTGTTTGGGGTCATCTTCCTCCTTTCATGCTTCATTTTATCATGTTTTGAGCCTTGCATTTGAGCATTTGCATTGGCCTTGGTTTGGCCTTTTAGCCACTAAAATCCAGTGGATTTTCAGTGGCTTAGATGTGTTTTTAAGCTTCAAAATCAGAGAAGCGTGACCCTCTCACCCCTTGTTCTCTTTGCTAGCATTGTTGACCTTCCAAAGGGGCTCCATCTTACATGTTGCGAAGTCACATTTCAGGCCCTATTTTGTGAGTTTTAAGGTCTGCCTTGACTCTGTCCGGAGCCCCTTTGGCCATATTTTATGTCTATGATGCATGTGTAGAACAATCCCATGCAAGGCCTTTCAAAGGGACCTTTCATTGCATGCTTCCTAGACCAATTTCAGGCTCTTTTTGGCAGGTTTTAGGGCTGTCATAACTCATTTCCAAAGGTGGTTTTGCCCTTTTGTTTGTCTATCATGTATGTGTAGAACAACCCCTTGCATGGCTTTCCAAAGGAGCTCATCATTCTTTCATGTGTTAACTGAGTTTCAATGATTATTTGGGCATATTTTGGCATGAAATACATTTTTTTTTGGCTGGTGGGGTGAGCCCTCATATGCTTCATATAGTTGTAGAACAACTCATGGTTCACTAGCTTTCTTTGCATGCTTTATAGGCCATTGATTCTAGTGTATTTTGGCCATGCCTTAAACTGATAATGTGCTTATTTTAGACTGCCCTAGCTCTATTTTTGGGTCTTGTGGTTGAATGATGTTAGTTTTGCATGCTTGTAGTTCAAGGTCCATGCTTAGCTTTGAGTTTTGAGATCCATTCCATGCATATACTGAGGTGTGTTCATATTTTAAGCCTATTATTCATCACATTTCAGAGCTTGTTTGAATGCCATGTTGCCATGTTTTCATCTCTTTAAATGCGTTTGAGAGTCGGGCTTGTATGCCTCATTTACCGACCATTGAATGAGCTCCATGTCGTTGCATTCCGAGTCATCATTTTAGGCCAATTTCCCACTGTTTCAGACCTACCTAGGGTCTGTTTTTGGTTGGTTTTGCCTTTGGTGCATTGCTTTGGGTACCTCTAGTGTAACGCACTTCACTAGTTTCGGTACCCGGGCCCACTAGCTTGCATTGTGTGCCATATTTATATGTTTCAGGACCATATTTCATGTTGTCTCAGAGCTGTAATTTATGCTATTCCATGTCATATTGCATCCCTTGCCATGCTTTGGTAGAGTGGCATGTTATGCCTTAGGATCGGTCCTTGGCATTCGTACGCGTTTGCATGCATTTCGGTTGTTTCATTTCCTATCGTATGGCCACTAATGTGAGTGTGGCTGAGGTCCATTCATGTTGGTGTAAGTCCATCGTGCATTTTGTATGCCATTTCATAGCATTGTGTATGCTAGGTTGCATGTTAGAGCATTGTGTATGCCATGTTACATCGAGCATTGTGTATGCCATTTCATAGCATTGCGTATGCTAGGTTGTATGTTAGTCGCATTGTGTATGCCATCT